AATCATAAAACAACCTGCGAAGAAAAGGAAGGTAAACAAAATTCAGAATCTTTTCCTCTGCAAGTAAAAAGAGAGGTGACCCTTGTTCTTTAATCGATTGCTCAATCATTTTTCACAGCTTGATTGAATCCAAAAAGTGTAAATTAAAAAAGGTTTTGAAGAAGAAGAAAAAAGCTGCAGAAATCTGAAATCTGTTGAGTATTGTAGAAGACGAAGAAGAAGAGTTTGGGTTCATAATGGCGAAAGCAGGAGGGATTACGAACGCAGTTAACGTAGGAATTGCTGTTCAAGCAGATTGGGAGAATCGAGAATTTATTTCACATATCTCTCTCAATGTTCGTCGTCTCTTCGAATTCCTCGTCCAATTCGGTAAACGTTCACTCGCTTGATTTCTCTGTGTTGGGTTTCTGGAAAATTTGGAGCTTGCTTGCTTCAAGTTCGTCAATTTCGTCTATGCTAAATTTAGAAACTTTTAGGGTTTTGTTAAAGAAGAGTTCTAGATCATTTGGGGATTGAATTTGTTGATGGGTTAGATGAAAAAGAAAATCAGCTTTTTCATGTTTAGATTATGAGATTTCATTTGCAATTGGTTCGATTTTTGTGTTGGTGAAACGAAACTCGTTTTGGTATTATCTTCTTGTGATCCTTTGACTTTCATGTTCTTAGATCCATGCGCTCAGAGAGAGCAAGTGATCTTTGTAATGCTCTCTCTTTGATCTTCTCAGCTCCAGTTCCAGCTGGTTTTCGATAATGTTGTGTGTGTGTGTTGATGAGATTTTCTATCTTGAGCTAAATTGGTTATCAAACCCTGAAAGCTTTCGATTAGTATCTGTGACTTACTGTAATTTCCTTCTGTGTGTGTGTGTTTCAGAATCGACTACAAAGAGCAAATTAGCATCTTTGAATGAGAAGTTAGATCTGTTGGAACGTCGCTTGGAAATGCTAGAGGTCCAAGTGAGTACCGCAACAGCAAATCCGTCTCTGTTTGCTACGTGAAACACGCATAGCCATATTCGTTGCAATTGGAACTGAGTCTGAGCCTTTGGCTTAATCAGAAGAACCCATCTTTCGTTGTACGTGTACCCTCGAATGATTCTTTCTTTCTTTCTTCCATAGCTGTGCTGTATTAAACTATAATAGTTCACACAGTATGAATCCACTCATGAATTCGTGTATCTTTGTCTGCCCATGTTGATGTAAGATTTTTTAAATGCCAAATCATTTCATTATCTGTCTTTGGAGTTAGGCTTCCTTCTGATCTATGTAAGGTTCCCAAAAGCTTTTATAGTCCCTCTAGTGTGGAAAGTCTAGTGATGTTGTTATGTAATCTCTTTTTCTTCTTATCTACTGTGACTCTATTGTTTTGGCTATGCGAGTAACGTAAACGAAAAACCTTGGTTGATAAAACTGAGAGATACTTAATGAAATTGTGATTTGTCGGTCATTTGAAACCAAGGGTTAGATTCTAATAGACTCAGCTGCATCTCATCTGCATGACATGTTGATGATTATGTTGTTTTTCAGCTACTTAAGTCAGAAAACTCTGTTGACTAGGGATCATTGATCATTTTCACGATCAAGAATCTCTGTCCATCGTTTTTGTTTCTGAAAAAAATCAGCCACAAGGCTAATGAACTATATAGATCCCTCATTGATCTTATCGTTAAATAGTCGCAGAAAGGTTTATAAACCAAAAGCTTTTTGATATATAACTCAAGTCATGACTGAATTGTAGGATCTGATCTTCAACCAAAACACTAGTATCATCCTCACACACAAATAAAAATCAAGAGCTGAGTTCCTTAACCATTTGCAGCTTTGAGAATACCTTGATTAGCGAGTACAGGGAGAAGTTCCCGTCTTATATTGAATCCGCTGTGTCTGACCTCTGGATAGCAATTGCTGAAGAAGACATAGATGAGATCAAGACCAATGCTTAGCTAGGTAGTAAGCTACAATAAGCTCAATATTTGTAAAAGACAAGGTCTCGTCTAGAGTTTGCTTTGATCGCATCTTCTAATTGATCAACCTGATCAAAATCAACCTTGAAAGAAACCATGATAGTACCATCTTTACCAGTATCATAATCTTCCTTGATCTCTTGAGCTTGACACGACTGTAACTGATTGTAAACAACACCTAAAAGATCAAACGTAACCTCAACTCCCATTACAACTTTAGACTTGACAAGAATCGTATCAGCAGTTTTCAGACAATCAGATGTAACACCACCATATGCTCTAACAAGACCTCCAGTTCCAAGTTTGATCCCTCCAAAATACCTTATGACAACAACCATGACTCTGTCTAATCCAGACGACGAAATCGCAGACTGCATAGGCTTTCCTGCTGTGCCTGATGGCTCACCATCATCACTCGATCGATGTTCATCACCGACCTTATAAGCCCAGCAATTGTGCGTAGCGCGAGGATCTCGGACCTGTGAGAGGAACGATTGAGCCGATTGTTCGCTCGAGATTGGTCCGGCGATTGCGATGAACTTGCTCTTCTTAATCTCTTTCTCCACCGATACGATTTCTTTGATGGTGGTGAAAGCGGCGGCGGCGTTAGGACCGGAATTTAAAGACAGCATCGAGCTCGCGGCAGAGAATTGCCGGCGGCGAAGAACGACGACGGTGGTTGCAGCTGTTACCCGTAACCCCAACCGCATCTGATTGCTCCACATTGTTTGATATTTAATGATAACCCGGTTTGGTTCTGAATATTAGATAACCGGTTTAGTACATTAATTGGATAAGCCTAAACGATGCGTAAACCGGTTCGCTGGCCTTTCTTTCTCCGATTAGTTTACAATATCTATCTATAATATATAATTGTGCGGTAAAAAAGCTGATGTGTGGCACTCAGTTTTGAAATGTCGACATTACCTTTGTTATAATTACTACGTGTGCCATCATATCTATCGACTATATAAAAATGTTTTTAATGTTTTTTATATTATGGGCCCATACTAGGTTGTAGTCATTTGCTCACATATTTGTTTGTTTTCGTGGCCCATACATATACGTCGGTTCGCTTGAAATATAGATGTGAGTTAGGGTTTTATATTTTTAGAGAGATTAGTTTCTTAACATTGTTTTCCGTCTCTCCCCAATGAAATTTTTTTTTTTTATTCCTTCACTGTGTTTTTTTTTTGTAGTGCATGTTTGTTATTCCGACTGCTTTATTTTTATTTTTATTGAAGGTTATATTAATTTATATCTTGCATCTCTCAAACCGTTTCACTATTTTTATTGAAGGTTAGATTTGGCGTGGAAACATGATACTCAAACTTTAGATTC